AAAAATATTTTCATTATTCGAAGACATTTACACTCTAAGTGAAAACGATTTTGTAAACTTTTGTCGAAATAAAAATCTAACAAGGAACAAGGCTAGAAAGGTTGAAAGATACTTTCATTCAAAGATTATTTATGAAGATACACAGATACTTACACCGAAACGTAATGAATTGGTCTAAAGTTTTGAAACAAAATCGACGGGAATTTTTTTTTGCACTTTCTTATATTTTAACTATGGCGATTCGAAATTCGAAATTTGCGTTACAAAATCTATTATTTTAGTTTCTTTTTAGTTCTTAGATCAGAAATCTCAATTGTGTGAAGGCTACAACTTAATTCGATATCACATTTTGTAAAGAACTGTCCACTCTAGAAGACTGCCATGTTCGATAACTTTTAGCATCTTCGCAAACGAACATATATGTGTAGCAAAGAAACCTGCTAATGCGTCGTTCAAAGTAGTTTCTAAGACCTTTCAAAGATTTCTTCACTACTCTTGAATAACAAGTAACGCTCGTCGCCAGGACTTGCTTGACCCTCAACTAAATTTGTTCTTTTAATCACTTGTTATTGTTTTCGGAATTCTGCTTTGAAAATTATCATTCAACGCACACATTTAAAAAAATGTGTCGATAATATTGACCATGACTACTTTTTTGAAAAAAGTCTGAACTTTCTATTTTCTGTTGATATTTCTAAAATAAACTTAAGCATACAGCTCGCAGTCAGTCCTGACTACTGAATTAAACTCACATTGCAATCTCCTCAGGGCGGAATCCGACGATTCTTTTTTGCAAAATTTTCATTTTTACGTAGAATAATCTCTATTTCGAAATTCTATAATCTCATCTTGAGTTTGACTATATCACCCAAAATAGAATTGAATTGGATTTCATCCAGAATCTATATTCTGCTGAAATTGCTCCTAATGTGAAATGCCAAGAGAGCTTCCAAGCAATCATATGTTTCTTATTATTCATCGATGAACATAGAGCTAAAAGAAGCTTACCTTAGAAAATCTACAGGATTCTAGAGATTGCTATCTAAACCATATAGAAAATATCAATTGTCGTTCAAGAGAATTCCAGTGTTTATAGGGCCCCAACATCCCTTAAAAAATCAATCTCAGCTGAGAAACGTTCATGTGGTATGACATTATGAGGACATGTTGAGGCTATCATAGGAAGTCTATGGTGAAATGTTGAGCCCTATATCATGATGTTTGAGGGGAGTATCATGAAAACAAGATTTTTCTGTCCAGGTTCATTGTACGTATTTTATTTTTTGTTCGTTTGAAAGAGCATGTCAGGATGTAGTGTGTACCAGAGCCCTTTTTTCAGATCAATGACTAAAAAAGACTCTCAAAAAATGGCGCTCTATTTATATAAGTGTTTGTATATATAGTAAAAAAAGCTTAATAAAAAAAGAGGCTCTGATAGGCACTGCATTTTGACATGCTCTTTCCAACAAGAAGAAATCTGACATATGTTACACGAACCTGAGTGGAGAAATTTATGCTGTGCTCAAAATATCATCAATTGAGAAAAAACAAAAAAAGATTTTCGGTTTTTTCAAAAATGGCTTATTTTTCAAATACGATATGATGAAAATCTGAAAAAAGTTTAGAAAAAACGACGTGCCGGATGAAAATTTTTGTTGTTTATGAGTGACTAGATTATGGGCTATAAGTCCCGTGCCTTTATCTCAATTTCAATGATTCTGACGGAAAATGACCATTTTTTAAGAGGCGTAAGATGTTTTGGTATGCCCCTAAACTGTCAACAAATCGAGAAAATACAAGGAAATATCGTGAAATTCCAATAACTCTTTCAAAAGTCTTGAAATCTGAAGGAGGTTTCTAGTATTGCGAAAAAATTCGGAAAAGTTTCGATTGGGATTCTGAAGAAAACTATAAGTTATATAAAAGCCATGATAATTTAAGGCAATAATCAGAAAATCGCATCGAAAGTTCGAAACATTAAGAAAAGCGTTCGAAGGTATCAAGATGCTGCGTGAACATTTGAACGAAATTTCATTGGATACTCACGAAAATCCTACTAGGCTGTGGTGGAATTCATCGAATATTATTTCTTCTAGAAATTTCTTTCTTTCTCTATTACAGTTTTCATACCGAAGATTCCCGCAAATGCTAGATGGGCAGAAAACGGAGTGACTATCGCTGGAGGCCATGGACCTGGCGATGCGTTGAATCAACTTAACAATCCTGTGGGGCTTTATGTGGATGATGATCAAACTGTTTACATTGCTGACAAAAACAATGATCGTATTATGGAATGGAAACCTGGTGCAACGAGTGGTCAAATAGTAGCCGGTGGCAACGGACAAGGAAAGCGAATTAATCAATTGAATAGACCAGTAGATGTGGTTTTCGACAAAGATACAGATAGTCTCATCATTTGCGATTCAATGAACAATCGAGTAATGCGATGGTTTCGTCAGAATCGAACTTGTGGAGAGATAATCATCAATAATATCAAGTGTTCGAGATTGACAATGGACAATCAGAGATGTCTTTATGTATCTACAGTGCAAGAGGTGAGACAGTATCGAATGGGAGAGAGGAATGGGATAGTGGTAGCAGGTGGTAATGGGCAAGGAGATGATCTCAATCAACTCGATGATGCCACACACGTGTTTGTTGATCGTGACCATTCTGTCTACGTCTCGGACTGGTATAATCATCGTGTGATGAAATGGACGAAGTATGCAAAAGAAGGGATTATTGTGGCTGGTGGCCTAGGACAAGGCGATACTCCAAGGCATTTATGGTCACCTCAAGGAGTGTTCGTCGATCAGTTGGGCACAGTCTATGTGGTGAATGATGGCAATGATCGCGTGATGCGTTGGAATAAAGGAGCGACACAAGGAGATGTGATTATTGGTGGCCATGATAAAGGTGAGCAAGCAAACCAATTGAGCAATCCTATGGGATTATCATTCGACCGATATGGCAATCTGTATGTTGTTGATCAATGGAATCATCGAGTTCAACGATTCTCAATAAAAAAGAAACATTGATTTTTTAAAATATTATTGTGTTCAAAAAAATCATTGAAGGATATTTTCGATTTTTCTTCATGTATTTTGACAAAACAAGTGCCTTATTTTTGAAATGCATTCTTTTTATTTAACTGTCGCTTCTGTATTCATACTTCTTCCTCATATATATACGTACGTGCCCGCGCGAACAAAGAGCATTATCGGTGATTGGAAAATGACTACTAGACTATGCGGGAATAGGATAGATCTACATGAGGTATGTAAGAGACGAGGTCAACTTGTTGATTCATAGGCTTGCTGTGTTTCTTCATTCACCAGTTAGACACTCTGGAGTACGTCCAAAGACAACGACTACGTCTATTTTTGCTTACTAGAATCTAATGAACGTTGACTAAAATCGAGCTTTTGCCACTGAAAACATCACTTTGAGACCGTAGAGCAGGAGGATGTGAGTGTGGATGTTAGTCATTTCATCCGCACCCCACAGCCACACCTTAACTTGTTTTAAATAAAAATTTCAAGTGGTCACAGTGATCCTTTATGCGCCTCTACCCTTTTCGAAAAGATTTTTATAGAGCATTGATATTTTCGAATATTTTTCAAATTGATTTTATCAACAGAGAAAAAAATTTACAAAACGTCAGATATTTAGTTTGCATCTATTAATACCTTTTTTTCTAATTCATCTTTTTCATGCTCGCATTTGCATTACTTGTGCATCCCTTATGGAAAATACTGTGGATGATTGCGCTAGAAAAGTTATACAAAATCGATTAAAAAGCATACTCAAAATTTGAAGCATCTCAAGTACTTTTCAATGATCTATTGAGTGTCGAATAGACACGATTGATCGCTGTACGGCTGCCAGTTCGACATGATTCTTTGTTTTTCAGACGTTCTCTCATTTTAGAGCTAAGTCGAGTGATCTAACAAAACTGTATCGATCATAGGGCTGTTATTCACTATTTCGATTTCAAGAATTAGCTATTTAATTTTAAGTTTAAAATTTTCTTGCTTTGAAACAGTGTATTAGTATTTTAGAAAAATCGGCTTTGAAAATCAGACTAAAAAATAACGTACTCGAATCCTTGACACTAGCGGTTCTGTATTATACAGAAACAATTTGCAGTCTATTAATTAGAATTTATTCAATATGTCCTAGAAAAAAAATTCTTATGAAGCTACTCTTGTTCAATCAATAACAGTGAATTCGACTCCAAAAGTTTCAAAATTTACCTATTAAACAATCTCATCGTATTTATGAAATATGAGAAAAATAAATCGATGATACTCTACATACTATCTTATAATAAGAGAACGATCAAAGGAATTCGTATTGAGTCCATCAATGATTGATAAATCTAATAAAGTATTTTCTTAGTGGGCTTCTATGGCAATCAACTTTTTGGGTGTTGTAACTAGAATTTCATTAGCTTACAAAGAGGAAAGTTCTCTAAAACCGGTATATCGGAATTTTTAGAACAGCTATAACAATTTCTGAAGAACAAAGTTTGATTTTCAGTTCTTTCTCAGGCCCACACTATCAAATAGACAAAGCATTGCGTTCTTTACACTACTTGTCATATCTTCACGTTTCTTTCTCTTCAATACTTGGTCTAACTTGATATGAAAACAAATAGCTATAATATGATTCTGCTGTTTCCATGATTGAGAAGATCTAAATGAATAAAATAAAATCAATCATCAATGTTGAAAAAACATGTTACAGATTTTATTGAATTTAAATCGAAATTATTCAGAATGATTTATTTAAAATTGTTCTGTTTTTTTTTGTTAAACTAAATACTAAACGATCAGTTTTACCAGAGAGTTTTTTGCTTTACTTTAATAATTAAATTGTATAAATAAAAAAATGCATATTTTCATTGAAGTGATTTTGTTTCTTTTTAAATAAATGTATAAAGATAAAATAATCTGAAATATTCGCTTTATTAATAAAATAAATCTTGAAAAAAAATTTTATTCAGATGTTTTAGGCGGTAATCCATCAAGAATATAATTAACAAGATTTATTTCATCGATTGATGAATTTTCTTCAAAATTTCTCATTGATTCCATTAGTAGAATATCTGAATAATAACCTGAACGCTCATTTATATCATGACGAAGTCTCTTTACAAAAAAAAGTAAAAAAATAAAATAAAATAAATAATGCAATAAATACTAATAAACATACAAAATTGAAAGTATGCCTCTCGTATGTTGAGATAGCGCTAAAAGTAAATTATTTTGCTATCCATTTTGGAGTGGGTGTAGATGTGGATATTCGTTTCATCTACATCCACAGCCAAAAATGAGAGATGAACGCATTTTCTCGATGATCAATGGCTGCAAAACAAACGGGATATCATAGTTAATCAATCGTTATCAAAAAAGTTTTTCTTCACTGTTGGATGAATATCAAGTACTGTGTTGTTCGAATTTTTCATTTCAACCCTTTTTCTCGCCGCTTGTTTTTCCGATATGGTGTACTTCGTTTGTAACAGTTGTATTTTTATTGTTGAAAGGAATGGAAGCATGTCTGTTGATGATTCTATCTTCATTTCTGCGTTGTTTTCTCTATCGATGAGAGAAACGAGTAAGTTATTGGTTGTTCTCAATCTCATGGAAATGAAAAAAAAAATAAGCCTTTCAAATGTGTTAGTATCCGTGATGCAATCAGAGAATGAAAGAGAAACGAAATTTGATTCACATCATACGTCTCTTGGTTGTTATTTCTATTATTTATTACAAATACTGTTGATCAAGAGAAAAGTGAACTTTGAACCATAGTGAAAGTTTTTCCATTCAAAGATCAAGACGATGTTTCGGATAGAAACTTTTCTGTTAATTTATCCAGAATGAAATCATTTCGTTGACCTGTTGAATAAATTATTAGTGAAAAAATTCTATTATAAATTAAACGCAAGCAATATATGGTGCTTTTCATTGCATACAACAAAGATAAAGTGCCAAAAAAAAAGTTAATAGAAATATCAGTGAAAGAACAGCCGTCAGTTTTATTTTATAAAATACTGAGAATTTCAAACAATTTATATTTCACTCGAAGATGAATCGCAAGATTAAGAGCTTTAAGAATATATACGCCACAGAGTCAAAGTTCTCAGAAAAAATGAAAAAGACAATTTTTGTGATTATGCTGTTGAACGAATTTCAATTGTGCCAATAACCTTTTTGAATATACTATTCATAAACTGTTGACTGGGGTCGACAAGAATTATATTTGCATCTGTCGGATCAACTTTCCACTCGAGATATCTATTGACAATCACCTTGTAACTTGCTTGTGGATAATGCAAATATGGAACGTAGATTTCCGTGGGCTTACTGATCGTTTTATCAGCATAATAATACAAATGGAATATTCGTTTATCGGCATGATATGTCATCGAAATAGGTTTACCAGCAATAGCACGAGCATAAACACGTGACAGACGTTCAATCAAAGCCATGCTACTGTAACTATTACCCCAGTAAGTCCATGATTGAAGATATTTATCGGCTTCAAGCATACCTGCTTCAAGTTGATTGTCACATGTTGATGAACCATCACATCCACCGAATTCCGTCAGAAATCCGGCACCGCCCAATCGAGAAAGTTCATTCTAAAATTACATTCATCAACTAAAGCGATAGAAATAAAAATTTGAATTACTTTCACAGATTGAAAAACAGCTGGTCCTTCAATGCCATTGCAAAGCACTCGGTCAAAAACTGGTATAGTATCACTGCCTGGCACAGGATTAATTGCTAAGATAGTACAATAGTAATGATAAGAGAGAACACTTCGATCTCGATAAGCCTTGCCGCCTGGAACATGAGAAAATCCGGTGCCAAGAAGTTTACCATTGAGTCGAACTTGAAACATATATTCCATTGTTGATCTTAAAAATATTTGTTTCCCTTACCTCCATAAGTGACGGGCTCGTAGAAGATGAGTGTCTTATTATCGACTGATCGAATAGCATTAGCGAGTTTGTCATAGAATGGTTGTAAATTTTTTGTACCAGCAATACCAGGCAAGAGTAATGCTGCATCAGCGAAATAATTTCCAGCCCAGGGCTCATTAATTAACTCGTATCTATATATTTTCTCATTAAAAAAAAATAGAAAAACAACAATTTGCATACTTACCCAAGTACATTCGTATACTGACCAAAGGTCGTCGCTATCAAACGCCAAAACTTACTCATCGAATCAACAGCACCAGCCACATTATCATACAAACACTGAAATCCATGCGAACATGCTTCTGTCAGATAGCTAGAAATAGAAAAAAAAAGAAAAAAACGTATTGAACTTTTCGCATTTCAATGCTCACGTACCCCAAAGACCAACTGTCGCCGGACGGAGACGACGAAAGTGGCCAAGGATCTACAAATGAGATGACGTATCTGCCGAGAAAAAACACAACAGAAAAATTGTGATCAGACTATTTACATGGATGATTTGATGGAGGAAATTGATCGTATAACCATGCTGGAATGCCATCATAAGGTCCAACTCGACTACTCAATACATCCTGATGCATATCGAATAGAACGTAGATATTATTTGATTCGAGCGATTCGACAATATTTTTCATTATATTCAAATAGGTTTCATTGTATTGTTGTGGTTGTGGTTCAACACCAGCCCACATTATTCTATATTGACAAAGAAAACATTTGTACGTACATCATGAAAGAGAATATAAGAACAAGAGGAATATGTACCCGAGTCGAACGACGTTCAAACCATTTTGTGCCAAGTTGGTAACAACGCTTGAATCAAGTAATTCCGATGGATACCATGGAAATTCTTTGCGTACAAAATTAACGCCGTGATAGAAACGTACACGGTTTGCTTCATCAATTATGTGCATATCAGCAGTGTGCACATCTGCTGAACCATCGCACTTAATGATGACAAATGAACAAATGAGAAATATTAGTAGTAATTTCATGTAGGCAAAGTCGTTTTAACGAGTGAATTTGATCGTTTCATGGCTGACATATATATATATAGTGTTTATTCCTTCTCCATATCAGATAAAGTAAAGTGCCACTCGATTGTATTTTATGATATTAACAAGCAATAAATCGTTTCTTTATTGTGTTTTGTCAAATCGATATCTGGATTCTGATGAAGATAAATCCAGAATACTTGTCCTTGATGACATTCGTGTTCTATGTTTTTACGATTATATACTGGGTGACCAATAATGAGTGGTCGTACTTTGTATTTCATACTTTAATCTCTAAATACGTTCTATTAAAAAACAAAATATACCATATGACACTGCGTAAAAAGATCTACAACGTACATAGTGAAACGTTTTTCTAATTGTGTACCTTTTATTTTCGAAAAATGTGTGTTCACTTTTCACAGCTTCGAAAATCGATCGCCGACTTATTTTTGAAAACAAAAAGTGCACAATGAAAGCAAGCTTCACAATGAAGATTGTAGAGCTTTTCACGTTGCCTCTTAAGGTATACTCCGCTTTTTAATAGATCGCATTTAGAGATTAAAATATAAGATATAATGTACGGCCATTCATTATTGGTCACTCAATATTTAATGCCTAATGAACGGTGAACACATCAGACTCGGTATAACGAGCTACTGATCTGTCTCACAAACCAGAAAGATCTAGCCATGCTTTTACTCGAAGAGAACTCGATCACTTCATTGTCATCCTTCGGATTCTCATATAATACAAAGTTTGCAGATTGTATCACAAGATCCGACACTACTAATCCGACCATAGCACAGTAGGGAGCCAGATGAACATCTATGAAAATATTCTTTACAGAACGTAAGCGGTTGAATAAACACATATGTATGTGATCTATCATGTCCTAGAATATCATTTCCAAAAGCTTTACAGAGCGCCACAAAATAGCATGCCAAGCGTTTAGCTCATAATTTGACATAAATAAAGGCAAGGTGTTCAGAAATATAACGCAATATTCAAGGAGCAAACAGTAACACAAAAAATTTGGTTAACTGTGGCTTTATCTTTAAAAACTTAACCCTATTTGGATTTTAAAATAGAAGAGAAAACAGAGGTTTCCTGAAGCGAAAACCTATCCGACCACTTGGTGTTTCATATTTTTCGGATGCTACAATAAGTTAGCATCTGATCGAGCTTAAGCATTTATCAGATACTCCTACATGTGTACCATAATGATGATAGTCCTAAATAGTATATCGAAGTAAAGTTGCTCATTCAACGACCTTATGTACTGTTTAAATTTGTTAACAATTTTATTACTTAACGAAAAAAACATGTTTACTTTTTTGACGGTCAAAATGCGTATTATTGTTTCAACAGCTTGATTTTCAAACTCTTAAAAAGCTTCCAAGAGGTCCGAATAAATTCGTCACACAGTTATGATTAGGCCATGCAAAATAATCTAAATGTTAAAACGACTCTAGAAAAACTATTTAGGAATTTATTTAGCCTCCATGAAAGTGTATTAACAGTTCTATCCAATATTCGTTTTTCTAGTATTTGTTTTTCATTTTCTAATCTGAATTTTTCAGTGCTCTGGTTCGATTACAAAAGCTCGTTCAATGCATTTTTCTGTGAACAAAATATATTTTTTTTTTGTCGTCACATAAAAGTTTCTGTGTTTTAAATCATCTGACTGTCTCACTATTATTTACTGACCGAAAATCAGGTTAGTACTAAATGGTATCTAGAGGTTATTGCAGCACAAATCTTTCAAACATATTGTAACTCAGTGATAACACTTAAGTTTGTTTTCTTATCTTCGAAAAACTTGGTCTAACAACATACATAAATCTCTTCGACCAGATCCAATCTATTTCGTTTACGAAGAAACATGTACGGCATGAACTATTCTAATTGATCTAAATGACTAATAGACTTACAAATAGAAAAATATAAACGAATATAAGAGAGGTAGAGATGAGTGTCAATAGAACGAAATAAAAGGGCGCTTACTGTCGTTTCACATCTCATTCAAGAAAACACAAGAGACACAAAAAAAGAATTGAGATTGGACAATCTCAAAGATGTGAAACTGATACGAAGCATCGTTTCATATCTTACTCCAGGTTTTATAAGAGAAAATAAAATAAAAAAGTTAATTTTAACGGTATAATTCTCATGAGTATGGATGAAAGGCGAAGTATCATTTCATTCAGACGAACAAAGGCAATGGATTAAACAAAAATATTGATAGACAAAATTATTAGTCTCGTTGGTGTGGATTCGATGCTTGGTATTGATTTGATCTCCATCAAAGGAAAATGAGCGATGGATACCATTTTAAAGTAAGACATTACCTAAGTCTAGTGGGGTGTGGGTATGGGTGTGGATAGAATTATTGCCTACATCCACACCCGTTCACTGAACGATAATAATATGAAAAAAAATTAAAATTATGATCAGACTCTCAAAATTGCTAGTGACTCTAGAGAGCGAAAACTCTAGTTTTTCAACATCTACTGTGCGTCAACATAATTTATTTTGGATTATTTGAAATGTTATGTCGCTGAAATACACTAGTTTAATTGAAAGCCCAAAAATGTTTTCTTTTATAACGAATAGAAAATATAACTTCATGAGTTTTCGTGAGATTGCTGAATTGAAATTAAAAGCACCATAGAGAACTCGGAGATGCCTCTATTTGTAGAAATTTTTTGTGCTACAACTCTGTTTTGAAATTTGATTGTTATGTTGATTTCCTTATGTTTTTGTTGAGAATAATTAACTGTAATTCAATCACACTCCGAAATTCTTTGTAACTCTTATGAAAACAAAAAAATCTTGATTGAAAAATGAGTTTAGTTGATTATAGAATTTTTTCTAGGCGAAGTTTTCTTGAGATATGAAAAAATAGCTTCAATAAATATGTATTTATTTTATCGATGATGAAACTCATACAGTGTTAGTTAATATTTATCATGATCGAATTGGATCAAAATATGATAATGATAGTGAACATACCCGGTTAGATAATAATTTTTTATCAAATTTAAATTACTTTCATTTTCTTTCTTTGTTCCTTGCACTAGTTCTAAATTGCAAGCAATTGTAATTACGTCAACTCTTTATCGTGCTCAAACTATTTTAAGTCGAGTTAATCAAACAAATCGATTACAATGTAAAGTCGCTCTTCTCTATGATTGTTTTCAAACCGTCTACTTTTTTTTTTTTCGAAACTTAAGTTTGAAATTTTTAGATGAATAATTTTGAACAAACTTTTCGAATACTTGTTGATCAACTTCATGATTTGGAAATATGTTGATAATTATTGTATTGTTTCATCACAAGGAAATCAAGTAATGATTGAAAAATTGTTGTTCATGTTTTATTCAAAGTTTTTCTTAATTCATTAGATAAATAAAATTAGAAATATATGTCATAATTTGTTTTTGTTGATATTTATAATTAGTATGATATAAATATCCGAAAGAAATAAAATCAGGATTACTTCGATTTTCGTATAATAATAAAATCGAATTTGATTTTATCGAAGTTTTACAACATTCTCTTTGATGTATCCTTCTTTACCTTTATGTAGTCATTGTTTTCTCAATACAATCAAACTTACAGTTCAAATATGAGAAGCGATTCTTTTCTTGTTCTTCTTGTCTTAATTCTTCACAGAAAGAACAAGCAAAGAGTTCGTATGTGGTTCAGACGGAAGGGAAAAAATACAGTTACCATCGGATTCAAAATAGTAAACAATTCTGAAAAAGAAAAATTTCAATAGGTAAAACCTTACGAATCAAAATTACAATGGGCAAGGGCCCATTTGCCACCTCCTTGGTTACGCCGCTGTATTTATGATTTCACAAAAAAAAATTCTTCTTTTGTTACATGATTCTATTATTTAGTTTATAATCAAAGTACATTTCATTTATGTTATAAGAGTAATAAGCCAACTTCGAATGTTCCGTATTTACAAAAATATCTAACAGTGTTAACATATTGACTAATGAATTTCTCGTTGTATACAAACGTTTAGTATATTCACTGTCGAAAGTGATTTGTAGTCAATCATTCATATCGATGATTTTTTCAAGAAAATAGAAAACAGTTTATAAAATAAAGTAAATATCGAAATTCCAAATCTCGATATCCCATTCTCAGAGAATCACATTTCGACCTTCTTTTTTAATGTTATTCTCTGTAGTTTTATGTATATTTGTCGATATTAATGCTAGATAATCGACATTTAAATGGGTTAGTCAAAAAATGTCTCAGACTATTATATATTGATTCATAGAAAAAATATCTTGCTAATATTTTTACAGTAAAAGTACGAACTAGTAGTAGTGATGTTTGATACCGAATTTTATCCTTATGATCTACAGTAAAATCTTCCTATATTGGCACTTGATTATGTGGGCACCTGTGGGACTGACCGATCCAATTTTTGCTGGAAATGAGCCTGTGTAACAATGGTATCTCCCATTTCTGGGCAATAGGCACTATTTTTAGATTGTTTTGTATGATCGAATCTCTCTGAGATGGGTAAATATAATCAATGTTGAATCAATCTATTGTTCTTTTTCCCCTCATCATTCTTTGCTATTCTGTAAATGGGAGAGAGAAAAGATTCATTCGACTTAGCAAAGACAATGATCCGTCTACACATTTCCAATTGCTCATTCAGTTAAGGAAAATATAATAAATTGTTGTGTGATTTGTCATTGCTGGACAAAATAATTGAGAAATAACGTGTTATCATCATCTTACTCTTGACGAGAACGTCTCATAGATTAACGACTATGTCGATAAACCCGGGTTCTTACAATGCCAATAAAAACCAACCAATGTTTATATGGATTCAAGAACTAACAAACAAAGCTCGATAGCGGATTATTTTCAAAAATCTTGATTCTTGCTAAGAACATAAAAAGTTCAGATCAAAAAAAGGTATTAGCTGATGAAAGTGAAATATTGGCAAAGCAAAAAGTCTTCAGGCAGATTGGTAGTATATACAGGACTATTCTTTGTAATGCACTGTGTGAGAAACATATTTTGACTACCCCTACAAAAGCTGTCTAACAAGAGCACTTTTCTAAAGTAGGCGATTTGAAAAAGTTATCTAGGTGCCCATCTAAGGAAGGTTTTACTGTAGAAACGATTGTTTTATAATGATTAGTATACATAGTTTAATAATGAAATCAAACTAGATTCAAAACTATACCTGGTAACTGTTATAATATTATTTCTGGTAAAAAATTGACAAGTGATAACGAGTGAAGTAGAAGATACTCAACAGTATGAAGCAAGTACGTCTCATGTTCATATCGAAAGATTAATACTTTCTCTGTTTTCTACTTTAGGTGAAGCATGATTCGACTTACAATGCAAGTTTCATGTTCATACTGAAAAACTAATATAGTTTTTTTCTTTCTACTTTAGACTATAAACCATTTCATTCACAAACAATGTCACATGTTCATATTGAATAGCTAATACTTTCTTGTATTTCTCTTTTAAATTATATATTACTCGATTTATAATGTTAGTGTGATATTTAAAATTGATAAAACTAATATGTTGTTTATTTCTATTGTAGATCATGAATGATTCATTTTACAAAGTGAGTCTTATGTTCATATTGAAAAACTAATATTTTTTTTTTGTTTTTTCAAATGATGAATGATGCTGTGTGGAACGTCGGTTTCTTTCAATCTTTTAATAACCGATTGTTGCGTTAATTTCTTCGAAACTTAAGATGAGAATGGAAGGGATTGTAAGTACTGTACACGAAAGAAAGTATGAGTTATCGCTTTCAGTGTGCTCTCAGGTCTGAGAGATATGACTGAACTCTCGGACATCTTTAGTTAGTTTGCGAAATTGGTATCTGACGTTTCACTGTAATTGATATTTTTGGGTTTTCGATGTGTCGAAAATCCTATGAGGTTTTTTTGGGACGACGCAGGTAGATTTGCAATAATTATTGAATTCGAATCGGTTTCTAATCGATTAACGGTGTATGATTATAATCGATTTTAATCTGATTTTTTCCCTATTTCTTTTTACATGAATGTTCACCATAATATAAAACAATAAATTTTTTTCTATATATTTCTCATTTAACGAATATGAAGAACATGATTGGTTCTTAATTGAGTCATTTTGCATTTCTACTTAGATGGAAACTTTAAGTAATATCTATTGCAAATCATTATATATATATATATATATCGATCAAATGCAAAAATAAAACACGATATAAACTTTACTTAAACCATGAATATTTTTATTATGTAATTCTTTTTTTGACAATAAATCTTGTTTCAATGAAATACGATGCATATATCTTTATTCAAAAAAAAACAGTTGATATCAGTTTATCGAAAAAAAAACAACAACAGTTATAAATAATAAGAGTGGTAGTTTTTTTCTTAAAACTAGTGTTATAAATTACTAGTCGTTGCTAAACATTCGAATAGTGATTAAGAAGCATTGGCATTTTACTAAAAAATGACGTAGTTTAGAAATAGAATTGCTTTGTCCATCTTATTCTATGATATCAATCTAATATTCATCTTTCTTACTATATGTTTTAAGTATCTATTAATAATCATCTTGATACTTACTTCATCACATTACTTTTTTTATTAAAACAATTACAAAAGTGAAAAAAAATCGTTCGATTTTCTTTCTTGTTTATTTAACCCTTTGAGTCCTGAATTTTTTCTACCGAACGAAATTTGATGAAACTTAGTGTAAACTAACTAGGTGACTATCATGAAGCATATGGTTAATTTGATCACATTTTGACTTATAAACTTGTATAATGAATCTATTGGTTTGATTATTTTACTGTTTCCTAATACATGCCCATCAAAATAATTGAAAGAAGTTGAAAAATCTGAGTTGTCCATATTCTATTTTCATTCCTCAAAGATGACTTAATTTTTGTACAGTCTTTTGTGATAGCGCGATGAATTATGATATTAATTTTTTGAAATTCAAGTTATATAGTCAAACCTATTTTCGGACTAAAGAAACTTGACATGGTACACTTGTCAATGTTATCCATACACCTCATCATTCGTGCAACCTTGTAGGGCCTCTACCGACTTCTCATATTTATAGAAAATATTTCTCTAAGATTCTCAAAAACTCGAGGATTAGAAAATTTTCAAAGTGGTACATATTTGTACCACCAGGACTCAAAGGGTTAAAACGTTCATATATACATATGCATAAGTCTGTTTTATGATTAAAAAAAAATAATTGAATATAAATATATATATATAGTACAAAACAAGTGTTCAAGTCTTTAAATGTGAAATTAACAAGTCTGTAAAAGAACTTCTACATAACCTGAACCATAATTGGCAACAACGATATCCAACAAACTGTCATTGTCAAAATCTTCGATAGCGACTGATGTTGGACGAGATCCATAGTCAAAGGAATATGCCCTCGGTTCGGAAAACGTTCCATTGTCAGATCCAAAGAAAACAAGTATATTACTGATGCCACTATTAGTGACAACAATATCCGTTTTATTGTCTTTATTTAAGTCTCCAATAGCAATAGCAGATGGTTCAGAGCCTTGTCCCGTTGAATAATTTTGTAAGATGGTGAAAGTACCGTTACCATTTCCAAGAAGGACGCAAATATTGCTTGTGTTAGAATTAGCTGCAACAATGTCTATGTGTTTATCACGATTGATATCTCCAACAGCAATGAATTTAGGACCTGAATAGAGACCAGTAGAATAAATTTCTTGTGTGGAAAAGCTCCCATTCCCATATCCAAGAAGAATACCAATATTATTCGCTTGAGAATTCGCAACAGCAATATCTAGTCGACCATCATCATTAAAATCACTAACAACAACTGAATACGGGCTAGAATCGCTACCCGTGGGAAACGTTGTTTGTTGACCCAAAGGCTGACTGCTATCTCGAAGCATAATACCTATATTGTTCTTTTTAGAGTTACTGATGACAAAATCTAGCCGACCATCATTGTCAAAATCACAAATTGCAATTGATGATGGCTCCGTATCAACACCAGTTGAATAGATCTGTGGTAATAAAAATCTTCCATCACCTAATCCATATAATACAGCAATATTACCTTTTCCACTTCCAAAATCCGAGATAGCAATATCAAGGACAGTATCATTGTTTATATCACTTACTACGATAGACATTAACATAGATCCAGAGCCAGTTGTATATGTTGTTTGTAACGAGAATGTTCCATTACCATAACCAAGAAATATACCAACATTTTGAGTATTCCTATTAGCTACAGCAATATCCATCCATTCATCTTTATTAAAATCTCCAATCGCAATTGAACAGGGACCAGAATTATCTCCGGTCGAATATAGTGTTAGATTTTTAAAGGCACCATTACCATATCCTAAATGTATACCTATACTATGTCCGTTAAAGTTAGCAATAGCTATGTCTTGCACATTGTCATTGTTGAAATCACCAACAACAACCCATACTGGAGATGACTTATCAGGCATTTTATATGATATTTGTTCTTCAAATGATCCATTCCCGTATCCTATGAATATGCCAATACTGTCAGCTTCTTGAATGGCAACAACAATATCTTGTCTACTATCGTTATTAAAATCGCCAACTGCAATGGAAACTGGTGATGAGTCAATTGTATTTTGTGATATATATTTTGCAAATATTCCACTACCATTTCCAAGAAGTATACTTATACTTTGATCTTGCGAATTAGCAGCAGCAATATCCAATTGATTGTCGTTGTTAAAATCACCTATGGCCAATGATTGTGGACGAGATAATGTTGGTAAATCATTTAACTGTTCATTTGCAAATGTCCCGTTCCCATTTCCTAAAAATACAGCTATATTGTTCTTTTTGAGACAAGCAACTGCAATATCCCATCGAAAATCTTTATTGAAATCACCTATAACAACGTAATATGGAGAGGAATGACGCTGTTGTAAAATAATATTACTACTTGTAAACGTTGGATAATCAAATCCAAGAAATATACCTATGTTATTTGTAGCCTTGTTAGCAACAACAACATCAATCCAACTATCCTTGTTAAAATCACCAACAGCAACAGAAGTTGGGAAAGATGGATATCCAGTTATATATTCAGATGATGTATGAGTTGTTTCATTACCTGAACTAAGAAATATTGTTAGAGCACTATTATAAGAATTAACAACAGCGATGTCTAGTTGACTATCTTTATTAAAATCAGCCACAGCTACATGTTGTGGGTGTGAATTAGTACCTGTTGAATAAGTAATTCTATTCATGAAAGTTTCTTCTCTATAATCAAGTAATATTTGTACATTGTCGATTCCAGAATTAGTAACAACTATATCAGGTTGACGATCATTATTGAAATCACCGATGGCAACTGCCGATGGATGTGGACTGGTGTTTTGAGAATAAACTTTACTATTTACGAAATCGGGTTTGTATTGTAAGAGAAGTACACTCATATCATCGCTGCCGATATTGCCAACAACAATGTCAACTTCTGTATCATTGTTAAAATCTCCAGTGGCTATGGAATACGAATACGAAGCATCCTCAATAGCTAATGTAATTGGTTCAAGAAAATCTCCATTACTATGTCCGAAAAGTACATTGATACTGGGAATATCCTGATCCAAAAACGCAATGTCTAGTATAGTGTCTTTGTTAAAATCACTTAAAACAGCAGCGCATGGATTGGTTGAAATGTCAGTCGAATAAGTTTGCATACTTCTAAAAGTGCCGTTACCATAACCTAAAAAAACACCTATTGTCGAAGAATATGGAATAGTAATGACGATATCGTCACTTCTATCATTATTTAAATCTCCGACAACAAGAGAGTTAGGATAATAATCGTCGGTCGAAAGCAATGTCCGATTTTGGAAAGTTCCATTCCCATTCCCTATATATATGCTAATAGTGTAGTCATCATAATTAGTAGTAGCAAAATCTAACAAATTGTCACGATTGAAATAACCCACATCAATAGATGTTGGAGAATTATATCCTGTCGGGTAATTCATTGCTTCTGCAAAGGTTCCATTACCATATCCATGCAAAAAAGCTATATTTTCACCGACATTATTGGCTACTAGTATATCAAGATTTTTATCGCCGTCAAAATCATTAATAGTAAATGCGGCTGGCATCGAATCATTTCCAACTCTGCATATGTATAGGTTTTCAAAGTGACCAGTTCCATTTCCCAAATAGATACGTATTTCATTAGTCCAATACATAGATACAGCAATATCGGCATATTTGTCATTGTTGAAATCGCCAGCAGCAATCAAATCAGGATCATGTTCTTCTTCCACGATAGAAAAATACTTGTCGTCATCGAAAGTGCCATCACCATATCCGATAAATAGATAAACACTACTAGTATAGACATCGGCAACCATAATATCAAGTTGTTTATCATTATTGAAATCATTAACAGCGATAGAAAACGGAGAAAAATAGTCACCGGTGGAATACTTTGTTTCATTTGGAGTGAGATAAGTAAGATATGATCTAAGTACAAGAATAGAATTAATACCGTTATTAACGACAACGACATCTGATATATGGTCATTGTCAAAATCACCCACGGCAATTGCATATGGATTAGACTCATATCCAGTTGAATGCGTTGCCTTAAGGGAAAATATTCCATTACCATAACCTTCGAGTATAATTACATTGTCTGTTCCTGAATTTGCAACGATAATATCAACTGTATTATCCTTACTAAAATTACCAACAGCAATAAACTGTGGATGAGAATAAAAACCAGTTGAATATGTTGTGTTAATTGTAAATGTTCCGTTCCCATTTCCCAGAAATATACTAACTGTGTCAGTAGCAGAATTAGCGACAGCAATATCACTAGAATTGTCATTATTAAAATTACCAATAGCGACTGAACATGGATTAGAACCACGTCCAGTTGAATAGGTGTTCATTGAAAATATTCCATTTCCCATAGATAAAAGTATAGCTAAATTACTAGTACCATAATTAACAACAACAATATCAAGTTGATTATCATTGTTAAAATCAGCAACAGCAATCGAAGATGGCATTGAATCATAACCCATGTCATAAGTTGTATGCATTTGAAAAGAACCGTTACCAAAACCAAGTAATATAACTACATTGAAAGTGCCATTATTTACTACAGCAATATCCAATCTATTGTCTTGATTGAAATCACCGATTGCTAATGATACAGGACGAGAAGAATCAAATTGAAATGTTGATTGATTTGAAAAATTTAAATTACCATAGCCAAGAAATATACCTATATTATGCGTACCATAATTAGCAACAGCAATGTCAGATAAATTATCATTATTGAAATCTCCAACAGCGACCCAATATGGAAGAGATAGACGTCCAGTTGAATAATTAATTCGAGATGAAAAAGTTCCGTTGCCATAACCCTGACGAATACCAATATTATCACTACCCGAAGTAGCAACTACAAGATCCAAATAATTGTCATCATTAAAATATCCAATGGCAACATGTCGTGGGCGTGAATCAGATATAAATGTACCTTGAGCTGTTCGTTTAAATTTCATTTCACATTGTATATCTAAATAATGCAAATAAAATACATTGGAGCCTAAATCATCATATTCTCTTTAATCGTTTAACTTTTGCCATAAAAAAGCTATTGTAAGAAAATATTTTGAATTTCACTAGTGGCATCAATTTTCGAATGTAATGATACACCCTGTTTTATATATTCCTGTAGTAATTTACTATAAAGAAAACAGCATAAATGATTGTTTAGTACAGCTGTAACAAAAAAAAATTCTTTATCAAGCTTTCGTATTTTATGGAAGAAACAAATTATTATTCTTTGACACTAGCAAAATAATGTTGAACATAAAACTTTTTGTAGCAAAAAGTTTTCGAGACATTTTTATTATAATTATTCACTCATTAACTTTTCTTCGATTGTAAATAGTACCATTAAACAGATGATAAAAAAATGATCATAATAGTTTTGTTTTCCTTTTCAAGATCATAGAAGATGAATGTTTTCTTTGCGACGGTCTTCTGCTGAAAAAATACTAGTAGAGATTAAATTCTACAAAATAAGACTTTTTCAAACTCTTTAACATATCCAACAAATGTATTAGATAATAGTGAAAAATAAAAATCCATTTTTATGAGTGCTTTTTTTATCACGTAACAATATTTCAAAATTTCAGATTTGTATTTTGTTTCATTATCTTAATGTATTTGTTTGATATATATTAGATAGTTTGAAAAAGTCTTATTTCATAGAATTTATTCTGCTCTTCAAAATAAACAAAGAAAAGATGCAGTTTCTCCTTTTTCTTACAATAGCTTTTTAACACTTTCTTAATGATTACTAGTATTTTTTTCATCAAAAGACCGTGTCAAAGAAAACATTCATATTCTATGATCTTGAAAAGGAAAACAAAACTATTATGATCATTTTTTTATGATTCGTCTAATGGTACTATTTACAATCGAAGAAAAGTTAATGAGTGAATAATAAGAAAAAAAAATGTCTCAAAACTTTTTATCAGAGATTGCATTTTCTGTAATATTTTATTAGTGTGAAAGGACCATAGTTTGTTTGCTCAATAAACTATGAAAGCTTGATCAATAACAATGCTCAACATCTGCTTAAAGTTAGAGTCAACTTAAAGTTTAAAGTACTGGAGAACTGTTCTCGAGAATTGTACATTATAGAGTTTGGCAGTTTCGAAGAAATATCATCGAGAACTGAATGAGAATCGAATTTTTTAAATTTCTTAAAGTCGGAACCGAGACCATACAAATACTACTTTGGAAGGGTTCAATGAATCTAAATCGTTAAATCATCAGACGGATACAAAATTCTTGAATCTATGTCAAGAAACCTAGATTTTCAATTCCTGAGAGTAATTAATTCAGGCTATTTGTATAACTTTGCTTTGTTTACGTAATGAAATATCTCGCTTCTTTAATCTCAAGAATCCAATACTGAAATTTTGTCAAAGTTTACTTAAAATTTTCACATCTATCTGATGATTTAACGGCATCAATTCAACATGATATTTTGGAAATCGAACTGGAATCGCCTTTTTTTTTATTCATAGTAATCGGAATCCTAGCTTCGAGTAATTATTCGAATCACCTAATTCTAATATATTGTCTCACTTTGTTTTGTAGTTTTTAACGCTAAATGTTTAATATTTCACCATGAATTGATCTTATCGTATATGAAAAATACTTTAAGTATTACGAAACTAGAGAAGGAAATAAGACCATACCTATTTTTCTTGGGGCACTGAGACAAACTGTAATTATACCAATAGTCATTGCTACGATGGTAAACAAGGCAGATGCACATATTGCTTTGCAATATTGACGTTTGAAGGAGTGTAAGTTTTCTCTAATGAGAGCAATATACGAATTGTAATAAAAAATTTTAAAAAATAAGACATATACTCAGTTGTTTCCGACTCCATTTGATTATCATAGTCACAAGAAGTATGGTTGATACCAGATTCATTAAATACTGGATTTTCATCATTATATCTTTCTAAAGGAGATTGATGATTAACAGGTACCAGTTCAACTGATGTACGGTTATGATCCATGATATTTGTATTTATCTAAAAAGAAAATAAAAAAACAAGTTCATAATTGATAACTGTGGAAAAATTCACTTGTAAATCGTTGGAATAATTTTATTTGAGTTGCTGATATTATTATGCGCTCTGTTCATTTCATCAAGTAGCTAGAATTTTTCGTTTTATAAAAAGGTTTTTTAACAGAACGAACCAAGTGATCCATGACTGAGCGTATTGGTCATGCAGCGGCTATATGGTCTATCACAGACTTTCAAAGAATAAATTAAGCTAAAATTTTTACTACAAGCGTTTCTCACGAAGACCATTCATTCCTGAGAATTTCAGCCCAAACGATTCGTTCTAATTGGTAAATCAATTCTGAGGGAGTTCCTTAAGCTAAAACAACACTTAATTAAACTTTAATAAAATATAAAAATTGATTTTTATCTAATTTATCAACATTGCAATACTAACATGAGTAAGCATCAATTGATATGATATCTTAAAGTGTAGTATGAGCGTCAAGCGTTGTTCTAGCTTTACAATTATGATATTTGAAGCCGAGAATTTAAAAAAAAAATTGAAGATTGGAGTTTCTGAAGTAAAATCCAACAAAAACGTGTTTCACTGTCATCAAGATCCAAATAATTCTTTTTTCGTTTTTTTACGTTTGGTAAACACTATGATTGTCATTGAAATAAAACAAAGTGTTAAAATGAGACTAAAATTAATAGTTTAAATTACAAGTAGTAATTTCGCTGACTGTTTAAACTTGTTCAGTGATTAAGGAACTCTTATGAAATTTATGTTAATTATTCAACCTGGAATACTGATGAAAATATCTTACTTTTGTAATTCAGTAAAAACTCATCTTATTTCGGATGTTGTTTTTACAAGCATTAGAATTGCCTGACCTTATTAAACTCATGATCATTACGATGATAAACTTTTCAAAATATTCTATTAAATTATGAAAGTGATTGTTGAGTTCTACTGTGTAGACACGTTACTTGTTGAAGAAGTATACATATAAGGAGTGCTGGTTTGGGTTAGGCATGAGAAACTAATCAGATAAATAAAACTCTCCTAATAGAATAGAGATTGGGTTACATCGAACCATTGAAAAATGGTTCGATTTGGAAGTCTGATCTGTTAATGATAAATAATAGTATAAAAAGTGTATCGTATACAACCTCACCCTTGTGATGAACTACAGGAGTAGCGTTATAGCCTACCTTGACCATGATCTCTACTAATCTACTACATCGTTACAGTTATATCTAGTATATATAGTAGCACAAAAATTTTACGAACTTCAGAAAAAAAAGCAAGGTACGACACAGTATCTATCCTAACACATTCCGTTTGTTAAGAAAGTGTTATATATAAGGACAAATTTGTAGATAAGATTTAAATCTATCGTTTTCATTATTTATTGTGAACAGAAAAATATGAAACATGATGTTTTGCCCACTAAAGTCATTGATTAAAGTCTTTTTTCTTTGAAATAGGACTACAACTTTTTATTCATTTGAAAAATGATTAAAAATGAACTTTTAAATGTAAAAGTAATGAAATTTATCTGCACATTTATCTTTTGTGAAATAATCAAAATCATATAATGAAAATGATGCAAAAAAAAAACAAAACTAATGTAGTGATTTCAATTCTTTGAAATAACGAAAACTACAAAATGAAGATGATATCAAAGTAATGAAAACAATTCATACAATTAGTTATATTCTATTTGAAGTAATCTAATTCATGAAATGAAAATAATGCTAAAATAACGAAACTAATGGAATGATTTTGCTGTGTAGAAGATAACTAAAAACATGATATACGTTTTGTATGATAATTTCGAAAATAATCATTTAAATGAATAGTTTTATTTTTTATTTTTGAGGTTTCTGGAACATATTGAAACACTCGATTGCTTTTGAACCATAACAGAACAATAATGTTAAAATTCTAGTTGATTAAATTCACTAAAAAAATCTCCTTTTTTTGTGAAGAAATAACGCTCTTCATATACCTTATCAAAATATTGCTGTCACTTAATTTTTCGTCTTTATAAATAGCCTGACTTATTAACAATACAGTAGACTTGCTGATTTTGTTTTCTAACTATTCACTTAAAACAATATGATAGAAATAAGCTGACTCATCTGTAGGAAATATTCAGTAACGAGCTATATATCATGCAAGTAACGATATGATAGTCCTACCACTATAACTAATAACATTGTTGGCAATCAGATACTATGCGCAAGTTTTTTTCTTATGATAGTCTCAATGCTTCATCGGTTGTTGATAGTTGTACAAACATGTGCCTCATTTCACGCATCATATAACCGACTACAAAATTGGACACAGTTTTTTAATTAATATTTCTAATCAAGAAAGAACAAGGTTGTTAAAAAAATATTACGCTTTTTATAAAGTTGGCATTTTTATATTTAGTAATTCGTATTTTTTTGCTCGATAGGAGATGTTGATCAAAAAAAAACGGTCTGTAATTGCATATCTGCCAATAGTTCATGTAATGGCAGAACTATACTATAAAAATATTCAAAAATGCCTACGACCGATTATTATTGATGATTAGATTTTCATTTGATAAGTGATATGTTATGCTGATAATTATTCACTGTTTAGATTGACAAACTAATTGCGAAGCAAGAAAATGAGGAGACAACATTCTATTTTAAGCCCCCCCCCCTAAAAAGAAGTCAATTTTTGTCAGAACGGTTAAAATTGAGGTAAAAACATGGAGAGATAGCCCGTCATTTGCTCTTTCATAAACGATAAAAATTTTTCTTCGATACCTCATTTTTTTCAGAAAATTTTCGAGATTCCTGACAATTCCTATTCGAAAAACCAGCGGTTTTTTGAAAAACGAAAAAAATCTTTTTCGTTTTCTCTCATTTTTCACTGTCTCAAACGCGCATCCAAAATTTCTCTTTCAAAGTCCATCCAATATA